CATATATCAATGATGCTAATAAAAAAATTGTATATATCTATAATATATTAATATATTTTATTTATTGTCATATTTCTATTTACAAAAAAATGAGCAAAAATTGTAATGATATTTGATAAAATTCTTTCACAAATTATAAAGTATATTAAATTATAATAGAATTATAATGTATATAATTATAACTGCAAACCCGTCAAATTGAGTTTTATCAATTTTTTTTATTTTTTAAGAGTTATTTCTGGGTTAGATATATAAATATGATTTTAAGATATATCTCTTAAATGAAAAATGAAAAAAAAAGATAAGTATTTTTAAAAGGTATTAAAAATAATTAAATATTCATTTACTTTATTATTAAATTAGTTTCAAATAGTTTAACATTTGTATTTTTCTGTTCCCATTATTTCAGCATATCGAAGAAATTTCCTTCGTGAAACTGAAGCTCCACCTATTCTAGCCTTGCCATCCTTTTACCATCCTCCTGCTTTCCCGTGACGTCACTGGATCGTGTCAGTAGGTCAAAACTTGGATACGTGACCCGAATGTGGTGTATGTACTCGTATTTGCGTCATGTATCGGGTGTACAGGAATTAAAGAGCATTAAAAACTATATTCTGAAATGTCACAATTGTCTCATATCATATGTCAGAAAAATAATCAATATTCCTCTTTGATCAAATAATCAGATATATTAATGAAATAAATAGAATTTAATTTATTTTTAAATTTATCCTTGCATTTTTATAATGATTTTCTTAAGCCTATATTCTTATCGTTGCTATAGTATACTGAAATGTATTGCGAATATTTTCTTTTTTAATATAACATAATAACATACAAAATATAAATAAAATACAAATAAAAGTTATTGCAATATAAATAACATTTCATATATTTTTAAGTTTTCTTTTGAGAAAATATTAACGTGAAAATATTATGATATTATGACTCTTCAGTAATTTATCATAATATTATTCTCTTCGCTTTACGAAAAAAGAGAGAAGATATTGAAGACGAAGATTACTTACGATTCATTTCAAGTCAAGTGTTTTCTTTAGGAACGTCCTTAATAATCCAGTCACTGAAGATAAAAGCTGGAACAACTGATTTCAATTATTATTGTTTTTTCAGAATTTAAAAAATTGTGATTAGAAAATTTTAAGTAAATAAATTTAAAAATAAAAAATCTATGTAATTGATATATGTATGATATATAATGAAATTCCAATTAACTTTTAGATAAAGGTTATACAAAGATTTAATCGTAACTTGAAGTGCCTAAAGCAAATTATGGAAATAATTAATCGTTAACTAACATCGTTATTACTTACGTGCATTTCGATAAGTCTGCAATTGATCGTAAGGACGAACCGGTCAGACTGCCGACAAATTATCAGCAGAATAAAGCCGGCGAACAATAATTAATGAGAAAATGTCTACGATATCTCGATAACGAGGCTTATCGTATGCATCGAGAAAAGAACAACATATGAGTGAAAAGAAAGATTCTTTTGCGATTGCCGCGAGCTTGATTAACATTCCTACGCAGTGTCAGCAGCATTAATCATAACCATTTCATTTGAGTCCACCAGTCTGAATGAAACATTGCTTTGGCTTTATCGTGTTCTTCATATTTAAATCAATGCATTTATCAGACTCTTAAATAGAAAGTGTAACAATATAAGGAAATTAAAGAATGCATAATCATGATTTATGTATGCGACTTTTTAAATTTTTTTTCGCTTTTTTTATAAAATTTATTTCTTTTAATTTTAATTTTTTGTCTTTCTTTTATTTTTTTTATCTGTAAATTACTTCTTCTCGTATTTTTATCTAAAAATATCTTTTACTTAAATATTTATTGTTACTAATAAAAGAATGATAGATTTTTTCGTCTTCATTTTTCTTTTATCGTATATTGAACTGCTGAAGAAATCATGAACGAATAAGAAGGATAAATCATGTTCGTGGGAACGAATATAGGGGTATGTTATTCTGCCACATTGATTTATCTCTTGCCGGTCGCGATATGCTTCTGTTTTGTGCTTCGTGCTCTCCTAATGGGCAATAACGTGACGATGATCCGTGCAGCTATTCCTTTCGGTTTGCCCTCAGTCAGTAAGAAAGAAGCAAAAAGGTAACGGAGACCTCGATGCTGTTGTAGCCATTGCACCACTGACCTTGGTTTCAAGTAACACCGTGGCCAAAGTGATTCAAGAATGGCACAGGAACTTCTAATGCGCCTAACTTTCAGTTTCAACATTGCAAAATCGATAGTCTTGAGCAATTTCTTCTAACATTGTTGGATTAATTCAAAAAAGTCAAATATATCAATAGAATTTTCTAAAATCCATTCTTTAATATATATAATGCCTGATGGCTATTAAAAGAAAAAAATATTATCGTTCACCGATAATTGAAACGAACAATTGCTCTGTTGTTTCTAATTGTAAATAATAGTAAATTAAAAATCCTTTTTAATAGAAATTTTACAAAAATAAAAAGTTTAATAATTATAACGATTTAAACAATGTATTACTAGTTGTGTAAAAAATAGAAAATGTAAAAATACAGTTTTTATATTTCATTATAATATCTTTTATGTCTATATTAACATTTATTGTATGTATATGTTATATCTATGCAAATGACAGTAAAATATTAATTTGCTAATGCTAATCTCGTCTCATTTCCTGTCTGTGGTTTCTCTTTTTTCTATAATAATGAGACAATACATAAGTTGGCAATGTAAAGTCTCATAATAAATATAATGTACAAAATTGATTTATTATATCAATTATATATTGTGATTTCTGATTAAAATAATATAATTACTACCGTATTATATTTAATCTACATTGATGATTTGCAGTATATGGTGTTTTGTTATAATTATATTATTGAATATTTAACATTCAAAAAGTGTTTACTTACATTTATCATGCATTTTATTTTTAATTTAATAGCTTTTTCTGCGTTTAAATTGTAATATTTTTCTGTTGTGTTTTATAATAATAATAATAAATTTAATAATAGTTTAATTAAATTATTTATAGAATTATTTACTTTATTATAATTTAATATTTTAACAATTTATACTTGTTTATTTCTAACTAATTTATTCATATCTTTTATAATTTTTCTTTATTGTAGAACTTTAATATCAATTAAAATTATTAAACATTAGAATTCTAATTCTAGAATCTTTCTTTCTTTATCAAAAGCTATATCATGCAATTGAAAAATCCGCACTTATGTTATTTACTTCATTTCTTATTAATCATCTGAGACTTTGTTTCGGATGGACAATGGAATGAATTTGCAAGTCGCATGTGAGTCACGACCATATACGACCCATATCCGTTTTTGCACTGCAATACCTTTGCAGCAGACGCAAGAGCTTTGTGTGGAATGTGTTATCGCTCGTAAAGATAACAACTACGAGAGAAACATAGTCCTTCCCGTGCACGACAGTCGCGGAAGGATACGTAGGTGGTTACCGAAGGATCTGGTGGGGTATCAGGAGAACAGACGATCGCTACAGCATGAGAATGGAACGGAGAAAGGGAGAAAAGAGAATCCGGGCAGACCGGGCCACAGGCGAATACGGTGAGTAAATGCGGCAATGCGGGGGGGGGGGGAGGGGAGAAGAGGGAAATACAGGGAGAAGAAACGAGACAGAGAAAAAGAGAGATTCATGGTGGGGTTGGTGCAGTTGAAGCACGTGGGCCCTGCTTCGTGTGTCTTGTTCGGTAGTGCTCTCAGTAGTGCTCTCAGCTGCCCGTGAAAGATTTCACACCGGATGTCCATCGAGTCTGTCACGAACTTAGCGCGCCCACCACGGCCGTTGAGGATGTGACGTTCCCTATAGTTGTTGTCAGGACGTCGCGCACATCGTCAAAAGTACGAAAAGTGCGAAAGCCTTTTAAAGAGCCAAACGATGACCCTGAAGGTACTACTGACGAGCTTGGTTGTCGTGGCCACGGCAAGCCGTTTCGTTCTCTCATCGTTGGATGATCATCATCGTCGGGTGCCCTCGCACAGCCATAGAATCATTTGGCCAGTTTGGCATCGCGATAAATTGCTCCATGCTAGACATAATCGGTCAGATGATGAACGCGTAGTCCGAGAAACAACTACGAGAAGTCCACCGTGGACACCGCTATCACAGATTTCCATGACGAGATCCCCACAGCAGATAAATTCGGCAGCGAGAGATGTGGAGCGACGAACGCTGGAACAAAAGTTTAGTGGTGCTGTGGCGATGGCGGAGTATGGTGGTACCAGAGCAATAGCATACGCGGGTTATCATGGCAATCATTGGTATCAGCCAAAGGAGACTGACGCGCAAAACTATCAGCCAACTATTACAACTGTTCCTACGTATACCAGACATCATTCGGGGTGAGTAAATAAATTTCTGGTTCAAAATACAAAATTAAAACTTTGTGAAAATGTTATATAAAATCTTTCATTAAAGCAACTCAATCTTTCATTCAACTCAATCATTAACTTTATTAAAGCAATTATATTACTTTGATACAAATGATGAAAGAGTGCGACGAGAATGTTTCCCCAATCCAGTTAGGGAAATAAGAGATTAAAATAGATATCAAAAAGAAAGATCTCATTGAATTGAAAATAAATAAGTTTTATTTTGCACTGATTTTTCGTTTCAAAGTCATAGAGCTCCAAAGGTTTCAAATTCAAGACAGTTTTTTTTTTAATTAAAAAAAAATAATGAAAACGTTGAAGTTTTGCGATGTATATTTTTATTCGACGATGCAAAATGGAACTCATGCATTTGTTTTTAACTCAACGAGATCTTTCATTTGATATCTATTTCAACTTTTTATTTCGCTAACTGGAAACATTCTCGTCGCACTCTTTCATTCGTATCAAAGTAATATAATTGCTTTAACGAAGAATTTCATTAGTCTTTTTATTTAGGATTAATAAAAGCTTTGATGCGATACATGGAAATAAAATTTGTCTAAAGAAATTGATAATACGAAACTCGCGCGTATCTTTTCGTGAGAATTATTCAGATTTACGAAGATTACGAAGTAAATCCAGGCGTGATCATTCGTCGCATCACGGGAGGCACGTAAATGAAAGTGAATGAACCGCGACGCGTAAATATACCGGTGTCGCTAACGTGTGTCGCTGAATTACTGTATTTACGAGCAATAAGCGACGCACCACATTCGCGCGATGATGTATGGATCGAACCCGATGGTCGACGGAATAAGGCCGGCGCGGACCGTCGTTCAAAGGCGAGCCGCCAGCCGTTTAATTAATCGACCGATTAATTATCTCGCACGTAGCGCGTTCCTCTGTCGCGTACAATTATTGGGATTGTCCGTGCATGATGATGTCGGATTCTTTTACGCGCACGCAACAATTCAACACACGTTTACATGTGGACGTTAAAAAAAATATATTCAGATAAATGGTATTCTTTGCCATCTCCAATTTAACAACCGTAAGATGTCGATCTGATTGGTCGAATACGTTTAACGTCTTTATAAAACGGCTTTTGCAAAATTTTCTGTTCAAGAATGTACAATTTAAAAAAAATTATATATAGGCTAGTCTTTGTTATGAATGTTTTATATTCTATTTAACTGCAACAATAATTACGATAAATTATCCAAATTTTCTAAAGTAATTAAAACTTTTTATAGTTTTAAAATCTTTTATACTAGATTTTTATACTAGAATAGTAAATACTACTATAATATAATTTTATTAACTATAATAAAATTTGTATTGATTAATTTATACATTTATAGGCGTTTAAATATTATAATATAATATATTTCCTATAATATCAAAATCATTAATAATAAGAAATGGATATAGCATTTTCTTAGAACAAGCAGCATCAGATGCTCTTATTTTCACCTTAGAATTCTGTTCTACAATCGACTTCCTGAAGTGATCATTAAAAGGAAATTACCATACCGTATTTTTATCACCTTCTGATAGCTATAAGATCATCCTACTTCTGAGTCAATGATTGCCCATCAGAAAACTTTGCGAACATTCACGCCAGGCACAGCAAAAAGCCTTCGTGGCAATGTAAACACAAGGGAAAGAACAAGCCGGCGTCTGTATCAGTCAATATTATTGCACATTGATTTCATCACCCATATTTTGCTTCTCTTCGTCTTTTGTCACGAACTGTTTATTGTCGTAATTATACACACACTCACATACGCATGCATACTTTGGTAAACGAGAGCAAGTAGAATAAATATTTTACTATTCAACTTCGAGCTCAATATTTATGATACAATAATGATTAAATTCCTTTAGCTTCTATATAATCAAATGTAGTATAACAAATATAAAATTGATATTTACATTGTAAATATATTACTAAGTATAGTAATAATAATCAACTAATCTATATACTAAGTATAGTAATATAATCAACTGTCTTAATAATTACTTTTGTATTACTTATTGCTATTTTTTCGATTAACTCCTAAACGAAATCCTCTTTTCTACTTTCATGAAACATACATTCTGTTTGTATTAAATAAAGTAATATTTGCAAAACATATGTTTGCACATGTAAAATATTTAGTTACCATTTAATCTGAGTGCAATGATTCGATGTTCATCTACCTTGCGAGTCGTGCTATTGAGTTGCCCAGATGTGCGTGCCTCAGGACTAAAAATTTTGTAAACCTGTACCAAGGATACTAGTGTGTATGTGTGTGTGTGTGTGTGTGTGTGTGTGTGTGTGTGTGTGTGTGTGTGTGTGTGTGTGTGTGTGTGTGTGTGTGTGTGTGTGTGTGTGTGTGTGTGTGCTCTTCTCTCTTTCTTTCTCTTTATATCATCGTGCACACGCGGTCGAACTTGCGTGCACCTCGCGCAAAAGATTTCTCAACGATGCAGTTGATGCGATGTGCCGAATTGATTTAAATCCATTGATGCGACAATCATAACACTTAAAACGCGATCTATCGATTTAAAGCCGTCGGAAAAATTTGGGGGTGACATACGGTAACGTAGTATTAGCATGCAATACGTTACTTTGCAATTTTAATATTCAGGATTCGACGAGGTTGCGGCGACGAGCAAAGTATAAAAGCCAACAGAGATATAAAGAAATTGCAGAATGTCATTAATCCTCTTAAAATAATGCAGATTAATTTTTTTTTGCATAGGACAATAATTGCAGAGTTTAACACTATTTAGTGCATTTATGATATGGACACGATACTATTATTAAAAACTATTATTTAAGCTGCATCACGTTTCTGTTTGTAATTAATGGGCCATTATTGCCCATACATATTGCTCGAGGTATGCACGGAAGATGTGGACCATGGTGTTCCTTACCGTCATGTCGGTCACCTTCTGTCTCGATCAGTTACGTTGCTTCGCTTGCGACATCATTCAAGTGATCGATGAGCGTTGAATGAAAGAAACGCGAATAATGAATATTCAAGACGTTCCGAGTTCCGAGTACTCCAGATAACCATCCTGCGCAATGTCACTCTTAGGCACGTTTCATTGCTCAGCATTGCTATTGCTTATCGCCGTAGAACTCAACATCGATGGCTGATCGATGAGAGACGAGGTCATAAAGAGACAGGTGTCATTCGTCGATGTAATGTGTTCTGGAGAACTATAAACGCGCGTTCCCTATCATCCCTATCGGAAATGTTAGCAGTCATTTCTCGATACCATACACGATACTATTGTATCGCGGCTTAACTGAACCAAATAAGTAGACAGCAGGCAGATGGCAATACCCATATTTTTATCTCTATGGAGCTTTTTATAAAAAAAATAGAAATTATTTTATAATATATATGTTAGTAAATTTCTGGATAATTTCTTTCGAATAATTATACGACAAATGCAGAATGCTACTATATACTACTACATGCTTGATATTTTAATCTTTTAAATTTAATTATTTTACTCGTATATTTATATGTTAATGTATTATATTTTTATATGTTTTATTTTACAAACAAATTCTGTTCTTGTAACATCGATAAAATTTCTTACTTTGATCAGAGAATAAAAGAAAAAGCAACACATTCTAAAATTCCACAGCCTCAAATAGAGCACTCCTTTCGCACACATACGTTTTATTCTCTTCTTTTCCCTTTTTGCTAACCGGTATCCCGCAGGATAAACATATCAATGCAGGTCATTCAACCCTTGAAAACACTTTAAGCGGTACATACCTTGCCACGTGTCAAGTTACAGTCAATTATTACGAAGAATTTTTTGATAATCGAAGGATATTCCAAATATTTTAAATTTTTATATAATGATGGTATTAAAAAGACCGATTTTATTATTAAAATATTATAGTGAAATATTTTAAAAAATTTTGAATTTTATAAGTAAATAATAATTACATTTAATTTGTATTATATTAAATAAACTTTGTTTTAAATACATATATAATTTCAGAAATATTTAACAATAAAAATTAAAAATTTATGATAATATATGCATAATATATGCATGATAATAATTTTATATATTTTGTCTAAAAAGAAATTCAGAGATTCCAAAAGGAATAGAAGAGAACACGTGAAAAAAAATTAGATAGATTTGGATTTATAAAACTTGAACCATCATATTTATCTTAAAAAAATTCAAGTAATTTGGAATACAACAATTCAAATACAACAATTAAATTTATTCGTATAACATGTATAAAATATGAGAATATCAAGAATTTAATAATAGTTAATAAATTTATATTAATTATTAAAAAGTTAACGAAAATCAATGTTTTTTATATCGTTGAATGCTTCCCAAAAGTTTTAAAACTTTAAACTAAATTTTAATTATAATCCATCATATGCGTGTGTGTATTTTTCGACCCATGACCTTATAATTCCTATATCTTGTACGAAGGCCATGAGCATCGATTGCACACTGAATCGAGAGAAGACATACAATTTCGGTGAACGTATAAGCACTCGACACTTGAATATTGCTATCGAAACGATGCTATCCATCTTCTAACAATTGCGAGCGAGTAATACTAATCGTAAACTAATGAATCAAGAAAAGTGATGTCAAGACAACGAAGAGTGAAGAATGATTTGATGAATATATATAAATTATTAGAAACATGAAAACATTATAAAAGATGTTAACATTAGAAAAAAATTTATATATTATTTTTAATTGTTTGTTTATATATCTGTTTATATATTTTATTTGCAATTTTATATTATTTATTTTGTATATTTACTTTTACTGTTATAATTGAAAATGAATGAAATGTCATTAAATAATATTTTATTACATAATTAAAGTTAAATATACAATATTTTAATATGTGAGCGTATGTGAGCGTTATATAGCAATCAATGTATATTTATAATACAGAATAAATAAATATGAAAAATTTT